ATAAAAGAATAGACATTAAGGGGGGAATATGATATTTTGCATTCTCACAGGTATTCAACTTCAAGAACATATCTCGAAGAAGTGTTGGAATTTCCAGATGTGTGGAAGATAAGCACATGTTACAGCAATTTCTTGGATTAGCCAATTATATGCGCGAGTATGTTCCTAATCTCGCTAATGTAATCAATGGCTTGACACTTAAGGTTGTGATAAAGTGCCCTGGGTTTGGACACTTGAAGATACTAACTGTAATAAGCGGACCAAAGCCTTAACAAAGCAATTAAAACCTTTAAAAACCCCAAAAGATGAGGATGCTCTTATTATGAGAGCGATGTGTCCCACTTATACTGGGGAAGTGTGCTTAAGGCTAAGCGTACTGATAATATTGAACGGATTGTTCGATATGCGTCAGGAAAATTCTCTCATGTTGAGATAAACTATCATGTTCATGAAAAGGAAGTTTTAGCAGCAAAAGAATGTATTGACCGATTTCGATTATTCGTAATCAGTCAGGAATTTACTTTAAGGATAAACTTAAATATTAAAAACTTTTATGAAACTCTCTTTAAAGGATGACAAAGCTAGACTAATTAGATGGCAAATTTGGTTTGCAGATTATAGAATCAAATTTGAATATATTTCTGGTAAATCTAACTTGGTTGCTGACTTTTTGTCAGACATTTTTCTGAAGAATTACAGGATAATGATGAACAAGAAGGAAACTGGAAATCACTTCTCATGTTCTAAGTGTAAACAACAAGAACACTTGAGAAGGAATTTCCCTTAAAGATAACTTCGGCTCCAAGGGTTACTGTAAAAAGGAAGACTGCGATAAGCGGGTGATCTCTACTCCTAAGCAGGCTACTGCAGCAAGGCGGTTAAAGAAGAAAGAGTCGAGACTATGACTCTGTGACAGGCTTTTTGCAAGTGTACAAAATCGCGCAAGTAATAAGCTCAAGTAAATGAGTATCAAATCCCAAGGGAACTATCTACCAAGTACCAAATTAGTCTATTTTGTTACTATTTGATGAAACATAATTTTAAGAAGGAATTTAATGAACAAGATAACAAACTAAAAACTAAACAAAAGCAGAATTTTATGAATATTTGGTAAACAGATCAATATGAATAAAACTTAGGGCATATATTTCACACCAATTTAATCTTTGCATTGACATTATTGTAACCTAATTAAGCTTATTCTAAAGGCCAAATTCCCTGATATTCCACTACTTTCTCTCGAACAATTAGCGAATTAACTCTAAGCAACAACCCAAAATATCTCTAAGTTGGATTTAGGAGTTAAGAGATCATTACGTTTTATAGAATTTACTAGAGCCTCATCGATTGCGGTAACTATCTCTAGCGTTCGCTCAATCTATGGTTTTATTCCTTAGACAAATTAGGTTTCATCTCTCGATCTCAACCCAACCCATGATATAATTCAACTCTCAGATCCTTAAGAATTGAAAGCATTATACACAAATAAAACTTAGAATTATGCTAAATAAGAATTAACAACAATAAAGTCAACACATATTCTAAATTGGGCTACACTTTAGCCCTAGAAAGGTATTTAGTTCATATTGTAGTAATAAAAACAACCATTGTATCCAATAACATGAGTTCAATAAAGAAAATATAAAAACTTCTCTAATTGGCGAATGAGAACTGCAAGAATTCCGATCTCCAAAATAGTAGCCGTCCTTTCTCCTTCTGTAATCCCCAAAAACTAATTAAAGACCTTTATTTATAGTGCTAGTGTTTTGAGGTTACTTATGAAATAATTAAATGCCTTAACCCATTTAGATCGACTAGGAGAATGCAATAACCCAAACATGCCCGTGACCCATTCTGCAGTAATCAGAAACAGTCGCTATGACGATTGTTCTTTCGTCCCAGTTCGTGATCTTCTAAATTTGGTAAATTCATCAACACTAACTTTGTAGCTCTCTGAATAAGCTTTCCAAAGCCATAAGAATCGTCAAATTCTGATTTCTACAGCTCAAGTTATGATCGAAACATCGAAGCATGCTCATCTTAAAGGATTTCCAGATTTTACGTTGTATCTTCGACGTGTCACAACTTTCTTGTTTCAACTCCAACTTGCACCGTTTGTTCCTACTTGTCATGAATTCCATCGACATCATTCTTTTTCATTCAAATACGGTTTAAACCTGAAAATACTCAAAATATACCCGTGATCCCATAAAAGGTATTTATGAAATAATTAATTCAAATTCCACAAATTAAACACTTTTTTCACAAATAATCCAATTAAATAACTAAAAAAATATATACTTTCACGCTCTTATCACTCTGATACTTCAGAAAGAGAAACCCAAAATTTCAACGCTTGAAAGGTCTTCTACGAAGGAAGTTCCTTTTTGTTTGAAAAAGAGGTTACTCCTAAGAAGGAAAAATAGAAATCCCCAAAGAAAGCAATGGTTTGCTGGTCTTGTAAACAAGAAGACATGAACGGACTTATTGTCCACTGCAAAAGACAAAAACTTATGAGGATTCATCATCAGGCGCTGCAAGCGTGGTGATCCCACAACTCCACAAAAATGGTTAATTGATGCGGATATTTGTGAGAGGTTTAGCTTTCCAGAAGGCTTAAGATTAACTCCGGCTAGTCAAACACTCTGGGAGGATTTGGAAACCTAAATTAGAATCGCATTGGCGACAGGTTAAGGGGAAGTACAACTGCAGAGGTGTTTAGAGAAGTTAGCAAGAAGGATAGCTTGGCTGGAAGCTAACAAACTGTTTTATGAAGACGAGGAGTTTAGAGGAACTGCTCTGCTTTATGTAGCAGGAATTCAAAAAATCGAGGTAATGAGAAAATGTCATTTGTTTGACATGATAGATCTCAAACTCGAGAATTTAAATAATCTAATAGTGAAATTGGGAAAAACTGCCTTGGCGGATTTGGTCCAAGGATTAGCAGTTTATCCTAATGGCGCTATGGAATTGTACGTTCCATGGAAAACCTTTAGAAAAGGTTATTGCAGAAATCTTTTGAATGGAGGATGGATCGACACAATGGAAATTGATGTACAGGAAGCAATGGTGGACCCGAATATGCCTTGCGCAGTTAAGCAAACGCTATGTGTATTGAATATAAATGTCGACACTTTCACTTGCATGATTACTTCCTCATTGCAAGAGAATTATAATGTTCAACCTGTACAGATATGGGAATTTCTTGTAGGAGAACCATGGTACCGAATTATGTTAGATAACAAGGTAAGAATGGGATCTTATACACTAGAAGAAATTCAAAGGAGAGAAGAGGAAGATTGGACCAGGTTGCATATTGCAAAACTGCTATTGGTTAAATCCAAGCTGGAAGAACTTGTTAACGCAAATGTTATTGTCCATATCCATAATGGGATAGTGGTAGTTTTACCAAATATGTATGCAACAATCCAGGATACACTCTTCAAACATAACCAAGCCCAGTTAAGAACGCTACTAGAAGGGTTTGATTTAACCCATCTATCAAAGTAGACTTTAATGGAAGGTACTATTGATCTTCTGAGGGTGGTCTTAGCCCACGACCAGGAAGCCCAAGAAGATGAGACTCTGAAAGATTTTATTGATCTTATAGAAGTGGATAACTTTAAAGATTGATAAAAATCTAGAGGATAGAGATTTGGACAACCGAAAATGTTCAACACGTAATACGCTGACGTGTATCAAACAAGTGGAAGATAATGCGTGGACATCTAGGATTTTGTCGACAGAATTCAACGATTCAGATTAAAAGAAGACATTGAATGTTGTGTATTGTCATTTGTTATAATTATATTTTGATATGTAAAACGTGTAATGTAATACTTATATCTTTATAAGACACGTGAGAGACATATAGATCTCAGTGTCATTATCTTAGAGATAGATGCTATTTTCTTATTAGTTTATTAGTCTTTATGGGTTTGACAAGTCATGTTTAGTTGGTGATTGATTAGACTTTTTGTTTTGTTTAATTTTGATTTGTTTTATGGATTCAATTCATTTGAAATCCGGACTTCTCTATATAAAGAAAAGTTTATGTACATTTTTATTGGAAGAAAAATCAAAAATAGTTTCAGTTTGTGAAAAAATTCATTCTCTCAATCTCTTGTTTTACTTTTGAGTTACATACTCGAAGCAAAGAGAAAGGCTTATTCAAGAAGATTGATACCCAGGTATGAATTAATCTTTAAAATTGAATCTATGTGTTTTTTTTTTTTTCCAATTAATCAACTAGGTGTTTAGTTATTAATTGTAATAATATTTGTTAGACAGGGTATAACAAATATTATGTGGGTGTAATGCTATCAATTATATATAGCCACATTTCACATAAGCATCCTTTATTCATAAATAAAACTGTTTTTTTAAAAGAATATTCGTTAGGTGGAAACGAAAAATAAAACTCCCCTTCTGTTTTATAGCAGCACGAAGTCCTTGACTTTAAGGTTCATAACTGCTGGTCATTGAAAGTATTATCAGTTTTTTTTCTAACGCAAAAAAGGGTTCAAATGCAATAAATATGGATAGTCTAAATGCTTTACCATGAAAAGAACTTTTTGAAGAAACTCCATTTGTATTAATTGAATTACAGCTTCATTAAAAATTAATAGAAAAATAAAATTTGCACTCTGTGATCACCACTAAGTGCACTTTATCGAGAATTCGTGGACATTTGACTTTAAATGAGTAAAAAATTGAAGTTAATTAATCTTCTGTCAATTGTAAAATGTCTATGATAGCAGTGATTCCATTTGCTTGTACCTATATTACATAAAACTTTTACCAAGGAACTAATATTTTGTTTTGTTTATATGTTCTTGTGTTAATATTAGAAGGTTCTATCCGGTCCAAGGAAATTTGTTGGCAAGGCATATTCTTAGTCAAGTCTGATTACCTGACTAAAAAAAAGATAAGGGATTTGAATATTCAGCTCTGTGTCATGAAATTCTGAATCCCCGGCCTATAAATAGCACCTCCACTTCTAACATCTCCACCACTCAAACCTCCTCACTTATCAGTAATCATTTCTCATTCTTCCTTTTCATTTTCAGTTACTTAAAACTTTCATACTTTTTAAGGTAATCATGGGAGTTGTCACCGGTGAAATTGAGGTCGCTAGTGTCCTCCCCCCAGCCAAGATGTTCAAGGCTTCTGTCCTTGACGCTGACCAACTCTTCCCCAAGATTATGTCACAAGCTATTAAGAGTGCCGAACTCATCGAAGGTGATGGAGGGGCTGGAAGCATCAGGAAAGTTAACCTCGTGGAAGGTTAGTTTACACCAGGATGATCACTAAATTGTTGTTAAAACTTGTTGCATCCTTGAAAAAATAGCATTAACTCTTGATTGTTTTTCGTTATGCAGACGACAGTTACATGAAGCAAAAGGTTGATGCACTAGACAAAGAAAACTTCGTGCACTGCTATACCATCTTTGAAGGTGATATGTTGGCTAACAAATTCGAGAAAATTAGTTATGAGACCAAGTGGGAGTCATCTCCTGATGGAGGATCCATCTTTAAGTCCACTGTCAAATTCTACACCTTACCTGGCTTTGATGTCCCCGGAGAGAATTTGATTAACAAGGCAAAAGAAAAGACAGCCGTCATGGTCAAAGCTGTTGAAGCATACCTCCAGGCCAACTAATCCTGATGCCTGTTAAAATGTGTTATGTGTTTGCTTTTCTCAAGCTATTTGTGTGGTTTTCGTTACCAATTACCAAAAATAAGTGGATCATGGATCATTAATGATTCTAATAAGACCTTAGGAGTGATAAAAGTGGCTTGTCAAGAGATCTTTTTACTTTTTTTTTTCAAAGAGTGATTATGTAAGGATTATACCAAATCTTGTTTGGTATATTCAGAGGATCCACTAAAAAACAAGATTCCAAGAAGTCCAATATGTTTGTATCATTTTTATTGAATACAAGTTAATTCAGGTATATTAAAATCCAAATCTGACCAACTTATTAGAACTGTTGAAAATTTGGGGAAATTATCCCTGGGCAATAAGGTAGATTATTTGTGAAAATCTACTTGCAAATGAAATCAAGAACATAAGATTAATTTCAACCCCAGATTTTACTCTAGTTCATATTTCCTTTACATGGGTACCTATTATTACATTTCCATCTATTCATCTCTCTTAGAAAATTAATTAATGTTTAAAATGAGGTAAATTACTAAGATAAGTAAACACAGTTTAATATTTTGTGCCGTTTGGTCCAAGAAATTTGCTATCAGACTAGAAAATTTTCATCAAAACAGTGTCATGAGATCATATTTTCCGTTAAAAAAAAAATGATAATGACCAATTAAATATTGTTGCCTCCACTGAATATCACAGTTCACAGCAGCCAGTCTCCAGTCAAACTTGTTGTCTCTTCAATTGAGGATAATTCTTCTCCAGCTCTTTTATTGTCTTCTTCAATGGCCTCTGTGCAATTAAAACTTTTTGTCTTCTTCTAACTTTCATGTAACAAATGATAATGACTGTAAGTACCATTATGGAGAATATTTTCTCACCCTCAATTTATAATTTTTTTCATTTACTAACAAGCTAATATGGTTAAACACTTGTCATTTACTGTTTCTTTAATTTCCAAGAGAGTAAACAAGTTGTCCACAAAAATAAGATCCATCTAATGGATCACATAAGATGTATACAGTGGTAAAGATCATTTATATTATCCTTGTTTAAACTATATGCACCGGACTTATTGATCATGAAGATCAAATAATACAAGACCTCAACTCCAAACTTTCTTCCGTTTGATTGGTAATAATTTTATGTTTACGGCTACTGAAGCCTATTTTCTTTATTGGAAATCCTAGACGCCTGTTGAAAAGGTCGATTTTTGTATGCTGAGAACGTCTTTGCTGTTACTCTGCTGAATAAGCCTTGGCGATTGTGACCACAAGTGGCTTGCAATGTTTGAATGTTTTATTGAAACAAACAATCTGTTGTTTTCAGTTTACAATAAATATACTAAATATTATCCTTTAGTCAAGCCACCACTTGGAAATAACTGGGGCCTTGTCCTGACTTCTGAATAATCACTATTCACAATGTAATCATATATACAGATAAATTTGTTTGGGATACCAGAAAACCTATGCAAAGTAATGTAATCTCTTGAGATGCCAGACGTCTCTGCTATATTTTCGGTTTCGATATTTTCAGGGTATAACATATATTATGTGGGTGTAATAGTATCAGAGCTTTGGAAGACAAAGGTATCTAGACCTGTTAACATGTTGAAAGTTCTATAGCATGAATAATAGTTCAAATGATGAAGTCTGTGTAAGTAAGACTTGTTTTCATTTAGATCATGGACTCGAGGGAAAACCGGAGATTGGTTTATTAAATACTATCATAGATAAGTTAGAGCTTTTGACCCAGAAGCTTGATAACCTAGATAGGAGAGTAAATTATACGGTGTATCGTATAATTGCTCTAAACGAAGAATTGACTCAGATCGGAAAACGAATTGAAAAGGTTAGTTCTGCACTTCAAAAGGTCAAGACACTGGAACACATCCTAACTATTTTACTAAGCCAGTAAAATAGGATATGTCCCTGGTTCTAAGTGACATTGAACAAGTGTGGCCTATTGAAGGGTATACATAACAAGAGGTTAAACAGGTCATGTTAGACCTCTGTAACGAAAACCTAAATATTCGAGAAGAGTATCCGACTTGGCTAGGAGTAAAGCGACTTTTGGATGTTATCCAAAAGGCATTTAGTCAAGGGTGCAAAAAGATTTTATGCTTTATCTGCCGAATCTCAACCATTGAAGTTGCCGAGTTGGAACTTCGAAATAAGTGGTTGGAAAAGGCTGAGGCGGTAATTCCTTATTGGTACGGAGAATCCCGGTCGGATCCGGATCCTTAACCATATTAAGAGTCAGACTTTGTAGCTAGCTTAAGGATTGATTCAGATTGACCATGGGTGGTCAGGACGTTCTGGATTAGTTTGCGGCAAGTCTGCAGGAAAAATGTCCTGGATTGCCTCCAAGGTATGCCCAGTTCGTGGCCAAAGAAACCCAAGGTGATTGGGATAAGGCAGTGAACGAGGCATTTAAGCTTCTAGGAAAAAGAATCAGGTTGTTGATTCTTTGGGAGGAAGGATAGAAGCTATTAGACAACTCGTGAGAACAAGATGTTTGAACGCCAAATTGGATAAAGAGGCCAAAAAACTTGAGTTCAATGAATCTTGTTATCAAAACTTTGATGGAGTGCTAGGACAATATGGCTGTGAGTCGAGGAATTTGACTAAACATCAAGGTTGGAAAAACCATATGAAACGGAAATGATCATTTGGTACAAATAATTTTAAGCCGAAACATTTCCGTAATATGGTAAAAAGACCTGTCACCAATAAATAGAATCTTCCAGATCATGGAAGGTTTATTAGGCGAACAGGGAAAGGTAGATTTAATGCTAAGTAACGCAGAGTGTGTAAGTATTGTGCTATTTGTCCATCTGGCAAAAACGCAAAAGATTGTAATTGTTGCTGAATGTGTGGTGACAAAAATCATTTTGCAGATAGATGCCCTCATAAGGGAAAGAAGAAGGCAACGATAAGATTTTTAGAAGTCAACGCTGAAAGCCAAACTTCTGAACATGAGGTAGTTTAGGGATAAAAAATTAATTCAGATGACGAGGTTTATGAATTAATTTCGGATTATTCTGAAGATTCGAATTCTTTGAAGGATGACTCAAAAGGTATGACTTTTGAGGAACAATATTCAAATCTTTAACGCATAGAGTATATTCATGCAAAGGGCTAGAAATCTTAGTGAATATCCTAGGAATAGTGGAATTGGTGATGAGGATGATCTTATCCCAATTAGAAACGAAGATGAAAATCCTAGCTCAGTAATTAGTTCGTCATCTAATTACGAGGATCACTCGAGTAACCCGGATAATTGGATAATTCCGAGGTTAACACCTAGAGAAGTTTTCGTGAAACACTCTAAGTGGTTATTTAAAGCCAAAGGCTTGGAAGATGTACACAAAAAACCTGTTCTTATAGCTTTCTCTCAGTCTCGAGAAGGTGAATTGGTACTTTCGAACGATTAGTGGCTACGGAAGGTTAGAACTCTTGCCAAATGGGCAAATGGCAAGTATAATTATGTGCAACTTGGTGCTGTACAAGTACGTGTACGAGGATTATTCCGTGGAGGAATGAATGTACCTGTTCAGGTTGCTTTGCTGGAAAGGCAATGTCTTATGTTTGGAAAAGCTTTAGTTGGCGGTTTTCACGCTAACCTAGCTTTGGGAGATGCCTACGGGACTACTAAACTAGGATATGTGGTTAGTCTCCAGGATCCAAATCTTAAACAGATTATGGTTCTTCGAATTCATACTTCAGGGCTAGAAGACTTAATGGCTTCTAGTGACGGAATCGTAATTCAGTATAGGTTGATTTATCGGTTGATAAATTCTATTAATCATATACGAATGAACTCTAGTGCAAATACTGAGGTTCATGGCCCGGAACAAGATTCTGTATTCCAATTCGATCTACGGTAGTCAATGCTAAGGCTCTTACATGGCCAAAACGATGGGTTTTAGAATATTCAATGCAGCCTAGCGTGATGGAATTAAACCCAAATTGGGGAATTCAAATCCAGGAACTTGATAATGAGGTTGAGGTTACTCTTCCTACGCCTAGAAACTCAGTGTCTTTAGAACGGAATAAGGAAATTCAACCTATCATATCAAGGAAAAATATACCAGAAACAGATGACACTGCTAGTGATGCTAGGAGTAGCAATAGCAGGAAAAGAGTTGGATATAAATCTGTACAAATTCCAGTATATGAAGATGAAACTCCAAGCACGAAAATGATGATGAGTTATGAAATGCATTGTCATGCGCTAGTTCAAGGTACTATTGACACTTGCATTCGTGCTAAACTGTGTTTTCCAGAATATGAGGAATATACTCTAGATGTTCTTGTAGACACAGGAGCAACCAAATGTATTGCAAGAAAGCAATGTTTTCTAGAGGAGCTTTGGAAATCATTGGAAAGACCAATCCTAAATACGGTTGTAGATAGAGGTCAAAGTATGATCACGAATGTGGTTGAAAACGTGATTGTACTGTTAAATGAGAAAAAAATTACTCTAAGGGAAGTCCTAATAGTGGATTACTTAGAAGTAGATTTTATTTTCGGGAATGGCTTTCTGCAAGGGCAAACAGAAGTTAGACCATTTATTCAAGATAACGACCACATTATCCTTGGAGGTCATAAAATCCCTATTCTTGCTAAGCTTGAAGTTTCGAAAGTTAGAAACAGTTTTAGACCAATAAAACTAAGGCAAGAAGTAGATCACATTGTTTTCCAAAATTTGGAAAAAGAAAAATGGTGGTTGAAAGCTTCTGAAGCAAAAAGAATGGATAAGGCTTGTAATGTTTTCTTTCAAAGATTGTTTGTTAGTCATCATATAAACCGGATCGCACGGGGTATATCGCAGGAGGTTGTTCCCTCTAGTGCATGTCTTAAGAGCACAGATAAATCAATAGATAAGGAGATAATCTTGAAGGTTGAAAGCAAGAGCCAAAAGAACTCTTTAAGGATTGAGGGACTTGTAAAATCCTTTAAAGAGGAACTTTCTCCATGCTTTGATGATCAACCGCTAAAGTTATGGGAAATGAACTATATATATGCTTCGCTTAAATTAAAGAAGGATGATGATACGATAACTACCAAATCCTATCCTTATACTTCTGATGCAGAGGAGGAATTTAGCAAGCAAATACCGGAATTGCTGGAAAAGCAATTAATACGCGCTAGTAAAAGCCCACACTCTTCGCCGGCATTCATGGTCATGAATAGAGCTGAGCGGGAAAAAGGCAAGGTGCAGATGGTTATCGATTATAGGCAATTAAATGATAAAACTATTGATGATGCCTATAAGATACCAAACAAATCAGCTTGTTTGAATAA